GAGTTAGAGGGAAAAAGTGCATACCCAGCCCTCCTGATCCAAACCACTTCCTTCTTCAGGACAGAGCAAAGTACATGTTAAGGCCTTTCTCAAAGGAAGGATGGGGGTGGGAGACACAGCTCCTATTGTTGAAAAACTCCCAAAGTTGAAAACTACTTTTTTGATACTGAAATGACCGATTGTGGAACAATCACAATCCAAATCTACTATTGGCAAGTTCAATATTAGCAAGCTGTTATTGAATGGGGGCAGCTGTCATTGTATTAGATGCTTTGCAGTGCCTCAGGAGAGCTAAGCTGGAGTTGTCAGCTGATACTGGAATTACAACTTTGAGGGAAGCACTTTCTTATGCCAACACAAGGGGATAACGTTTCCTTTTGAAGTATCTACCCAGACATCTGTCCCTCTTGCTGTGTGGCTAAGGTACAGCCATTTTTGGTGATGGCTGTTCCTACTACTTGTGCTTGGCAGCTATGTGCAGGGAGTAGTGAGAGTGATACAGGCAAACAAGCTGCACTGTGATTTGGAAGCTGTGCAGAGCTGGCAGCGAGTGGTGAGTGAAACTTCAGGGCCCAGTGGTGTAGCTCTCCCTTCTGCATCGTCCTCCTGAAACCCTGTTGCTGTTCCCTTGTTTTTCAGTGGTCATCATGGGGTAGCATTTAAGGACTGAAAGTATCTGTACTGGAGCTTTTCACCTGGTCCAAACCAGCACCATTTTTTCTCTTCTATTTCATTCTTGTGTAGGTTCACCAGACACTCTCTCTAAACCTAACAGAAGTCCTGAATGAAGTCATCTTCAGGAACAAGAAGCCAATCCTGCTGTTAGGTATTTCTTCATTTGTTACGGGGATTTGACTGGAAGCAGCTGCTAGTACTATGTTGCAGGCAACAAAGGAGAACTGGTGACTATTAAATGAGATGGTGGAGGTGCTGGTGGGAATCTGGAAGCTTTGGTCCATTTGGCTGTGGGAGTATGTAACTGCTGGTGAGAGGGCAAAAGAACTGTCTGAAGTTCTGTGTTTGGACCAAGCTTCCTTGGAGGTTGGTAATGACATCCAGAACCAAGTGTGAACTGCAGTGGTGTCTTGCAGGGAGGAGATGAACAAAGGGTTGTCATTCCTGTCTGCAGCTGCCAGCAGCTGCTGGGAAACTCTGGTGGGGCCTTAAGCCCAAATTTTCTCTCTTTACCATCTCCCATGCTATTGCATGGGCACCAATACACAGGGCAGGGGAGAGAAAAACACTAACACACACTAATAAGTGGCTCCCTGTCTAGTGAGCATCATGCAGTTCCTGAGAGCTGTCCTGCGACAGAACTTCTCCTCCTCCCTGCTGGTGATTATTGGTGAAAGCACAGTCCAGGCTGCTACACAACCACAGCCACCATCACTGCAGGATGCTGCCTTGCACCCCCTTGTCCCACAACAGGTCTTCTCACTTATTGCCAGTCTGCAGAACCTTCTGGTGCATGTCCAATTGAAGGTATATAAAGTATGACTTTTGGAACAACACCGGTGTTGGGCTTTGAGCAGGTACTCTAACCTGAGGAAAAACCACTCTGTTACAGAACCTAAGGGGCTGCCTGATTGGGTTTCTTTTTTCCCCTTTTGTTTGCATTTTCCACCCCTTACAGACATGTGATGAGGAGAAAGGAAAATGCTCTTGCTGCAGCATGGTACAGTGAGAAAGAAGGTAAATCAAGCTATGCAGTACTCCCTGCTGCTGAACTGGATAGCTGAAATTCTGTCTACTAATGATGTCTGTTTTCCCATCTCCCGCTCTGCAGGGATGCCACACCCACAGGGACAGAGGTGGGAAAAGTGTAACAAATCCCAGTCCCTCCCCCACTCGCCTGGCAAGGTGCTTTTCAGGATAGTACATCAGTGTGCATTTAACTTGCTCAAGTGATGTTGGGCTCCAGGGGCAATATACATCAGTTTACATTTAACTCTCTCAAGTGATGTTACGATCACATCTTTATTCTTTGGAGGCTGTTACTTAATTTTGTTTTAATCTCAGAATAAGTAGTCGTGCCTTTGTCTGGTTCCTTGACGTGACAGATCATTTGCAGCACGTTGCATCCCGTGAAGGAGATGAAAGGTGCTATTTTCCTGTGCTGCATGCTCTTCAGATCCTGCCACTTAATGAATTTTCCTCTTGCAATAGCTGTTGACTGGGGTTTTATTTTCTTCTTCTTTTTTACCCTTTCTTGGTATTCCAGAAAGACTTGCTGCTCTCTCAAGCTGTGGTTGCCTGCCTGGAAACTTTAGTGGAATACCTGTCCAAGAAGGACCAGGATGTTGGTAAAGTCTTCTTGCTCCTTCTTCTCCTGGGTTTCCCTCCTGCAGTTATTTTGAGCTCTTTGATCTCCATCCAGTAGCACCCTGGAGCAGATGCTTAATGAGTTTATGCCCAATAAGAAAAATTATTTGTATGCCTAAAGTTAATCATCTGCTTTGTGGGATGAAATCACAGTGGCCAGCTTCCCTGCGGGCATGAGCCCTCATATTGGTTCTGGACACCGAGATGCTTTCCAGAAGGAAAATGTCATTCCCCACTAAAAATTAAAGGTTTAGGAATGGAAGAAGTATAGGAATAGACTGTCACTTCCAGGCCAATGGTAGCTAACATTCAGACCATAAATATAGAGGAGGCAGGATATGAATATGATGTGTCTTCCACACCCACCACATTGGTCACAGTTTGGCCCTGAGGGAGGGGAAGGGAGATTAGGACACTAGACAGCCTTAGGGAATGAAAGCTGGAAATTCTAGATTTCCAGGGGTGAATGCAGACCTTGGTTTCCAGAGTCCATGTCAGACCTGATGTATACCACATTAGCAATATAACGTCGTATGACAGCATTGTGCAGTTGGTGGGGAGAACAGACTCTTTCTTCTGCTTGTTGTCAGCCTCCTGCCACGAAGTCCAGGTGCTGGCTCTGATCTTTAATCAGACAAACTTCTCTGTACCCTGAGCTGTTCAGTCTTTTAAACATTAAGAGAGAAGGGGATGGAGCGAATGAACACCTGACAAAAGGCATACTGGTGGGAGAGAGAAATCATAGGATCACAGACTGGTTTGGTTTGGAAGGGACCTTAAAGCTCATCCAGTTCCAACCGCCTACCACGGGCAGGGACCCCTTCCACTAGAGCAGGTTGCTCCAAGCCCTGTCCAACCTGGCCTTGAGCACTGCCAGGGATGGGGCAGCCACAGCTCCTCTGGGCACCCTGTGCCAGTGTCTCACCATCCTTATTTATTCCTAACATCTAATCTAAATCTCCCTCTGTCACTTTAAAACCATTCTCCCTTTTCCTGTCACTACAGGCCCTTGTCAAAAGTCCCTCTCCAGATTTCTTGTAGCCCTTTTAGGTACTGGGAGCTGCTTTAAGGCCTCCCTGAAGCCTTCTCTTCTCCAGGCTGAACAAGCCCAACTCTCTCAGCCTACCTCTGTAGCGGAAGTGATTGAATGAAGATGTAATGCTGCAGATGAATGACAGCCAGTAGCTGAAGGGAAGCTATTAAAGGGATAGGTTAAAAAAAAAATAAAAAAATGTGGCATGTTATGGGGAGGTTCTGCTGATTTGGGATTAAGTTAATGAAATGCTGCTTCAGCAATGGCTGAACCTGTCACTTTGGCTGCTTAAATGCTTGCTGTGGTGCAGAAGATTGCAACAGTGGTAATAGAAGTCTCCTTATTCCAAGCAGAATAAGGGTCATAGCTATGTTTGACTGAAAGAAGTGAGAACACTGGAAAAAGCATGGCCTGGACTCTGCCTCCAGGAGTTGCCTCATTTGAGGCTTTCTTGGTCCAGAGATTTTTCCAGATGTGCAGAGCAGGTTCAGTGCACAGTGCTGGTACTTTCTCATTTCCACCAGCAGAAAGATACCCCCAAAACATTTTACATTATTTTTTGGAGTTGTTTCTCCCATAGGAAAGATTTTTGTAGTGTAATAGGGAGGTTACATGACTGTCAGTGGAAAAGGGACCTTTCTAAACTCTGGTGTGTTGCCATGGTAGAACAAGTTATATCAGCTGACCTGTGGTAGCTGTCCATCTGCTGTTGTAGCAGCTCCTATCTGCTATAAATACAAGGTAGTAACACTTCAGCATTCAATGAGACTTGCTGCTGTTGCAGACAGTGACCTTGAGCCTTAATCTCTGTTCATCAGATACGTTCCTTATTAAGAACTTTTTCTCTACGCTTGTTTGCATTGCAACCATTGGCCTGTCTCATCCCCATGGTGTGCACTCTGATGCAGATCCAGGCTCGGTTTGTGTTATAGGCCTTTCTTCATTCCCCAAAGGGTATTCTGCAGCTAAATAAAACGCGTGGTCAGGAAACTTGTCCTCATATTGAAACCAGTGGGTATTATTTTTAAAACCCTGGGCTAAAGATATCCCGTAAGTATTTTATGACATGCACCCCAGGAGAAGGTTTCTCTTCCTATATCAGCACAAAGATGGACAAAATGCATTTTCTGCTTTAAAAAGCTTTTAAGCTTTTGTCCTCAGAACTGAATTCGTGCCCAAAGAGTGGCAGATTAACAAGCAAGTAAGAACAGAGCAAAACACCCCTTAGTGTTTCACAGCATGGAGTCTAGAAGAAAAAACTTGGGGTCAGTATTGAAGACTGTCCTTACCCGGGTCAAGCCTGTCACTTGGCTGATTTTAAAGCTGTCTTTGATTGGCTGCTGCTTCTATCCCAGCTCTACATGTTGCTTCCCAGCCCTGGCATCGATTCCTGCTCTTCACACTACTCGACGGGGGCCAGAAGTCCTTTCTGCAGCCAGAAGTTCTCAGGCTGATGACGTTGGTGAGCAGGGAAGGGCAGGCAGCTCTCCATTTTCCCCACTGTGTTGGTACAGTGCATGTGGCTCAGTTACTGGAACTCACCCCCTATGCACACACAGTTTCAGATACCGCTGGGGCTTTGCCTGGCACTGTATTAGTGCCCCATAATAATGATACTTTGACGTGAACTTCCCTTCCACACCCTGCAGAAACTGGTTGCTGTCAGCAAGCACATCCTGTTCTTCTGGTGTTTGCAGCACTTATTTATAATGCCTAGGACCCCTGGGGAGGAGAGGGGGAACCTGCAGAGAGCATGCAACTGCTGTTACCAGGCAGGGAGCGTGCTGCGGCTCTCTGGAGAGCAGAGTTCTGCTCAGCCTCACAGCTTGTCTCCTCATCTTTGGCCTCACAGACCTGACTTCTTAGGGCAGGGAGTTGCCACAGTCTACTCCCCTGCTGTACGAGGGGCCGGTGAGCAAGAGAGGGAATGTGATCCTGCCCAGCACAAATACTGAAGTAAAGCCCTCATGGCAGTCGATGAGAGGAACGGGTTATTAATGATCCTTCCCCCTCCAAATACAAGATGGGTCTGTGAATATTTGCTGTTCTTATTTCACTTTTAAAAGGTTACCTGGTTTATTTCAGTTCCTTACTGACCAAAATCAAAATAAATGTGGTTATATATTAGAGGACCATCAACACAGCTATTTGCTCTGCTTCTATTTGAAGCGGTGTAAAAATCAGGTCTAGGGTTAAGGTACTGCAGCATCTCATTAAATACAAGAGGTCTTTCCAAGGACCTGAGTCACTGTTGGAGTCTGTAGATCTTCTGCTATTTAATGCCTCTGTTTTTCTCTTTTGTTCAAGTTTCTGAGATACCAGAGCAGCAATATTATTTCTCAAAAAGAAATTAGCCAGATTCTCCAGGAGGCAGCAGAAGCCAACTTGGCAGAGCTGCCTGAGGCCACGTCTCGTGCTCTTCACCTCTTCCTTTGTCAGGTAAGACAACAGTGACTACCTAGGGAAATGAGAAGGGAATCCCTAGGGGCTTGCTTTAGCCTGTGATGGTAAGCCATAAACTTCCTTTTGAGGAGGTTATAGTAAGATGGAGTCCTGCAGCTGCTAGCATGGCCTACTGCCTTGAGGGGTGTCCAGAGGAATTGCAAAGGGAGTGATGCCAGCAGCTGCCTAAACTGTGTCATCAGATTGGGTGGCCTCTTGATTCTCCACTGGATCAAAGTTTGAAGTGGAGATGAAGGAAGGAGGAATGAAGGAACAAGCCAAACAGCCTCCTGTTGGTCTGGAAATAACTTTTCTCCTGACTGCTCAGATTCAGAGCAGTCAGTTCCAGGTGGAGCCAGTGCAGGCAGGGACCATTCAGACCTTGCTGGAGCACCTTCTGGGACAGAGGACCACATCTGTAAAGCATCAGGACATTGTGTATCCTTTTCTGGGCAAGATGCCTCTGGTAGGTGATGTGAGAGTGGTAGGTGTGACAGATGAAAGGGATGCTTGATCTGCTGCTCCTTCCTTTGTTCTGAAGGAGCTGAAGGCAAACAATTGGAAAAACTCTGAGTGGTTGTTACACTTGGGTAGCTTTGGGATGAAAGACTTTATCATGCCCGAATTTGAGAGGACATTTGGGAAATGAGGAGACATTTGGGATGAAAGATGGGTCTCTGTGCCAGGATTGCATTTACCTACATGGCAGACATGGTCTGATGAAAGGGGAGCAGGCCAGGGATCCTGGGACATCAAAACAATCTGATATTGATTTCCCTGGGGATGAACAATTGCTTAACCCTGTCTGCATGCCCAGTATGTCCGTGGAGTCATGGAAACCCGAAGATGGTTGGAGCACTTGCAAAGGACAGTGAGCATTCAGAAACCACTGAGTTACCAAATTGTGTTCTGCTTGGCCTTAGAGTGCCTTGCTGAGAACTGAATCCTCCTCTTCTCCAGGAATGGATTCAGGGGCTGCCCCCAGATTACTTGTGGAGAAGGAGGGAGCCTGAGGCAGTTTATTTCTCAAACTGCTTCTGCTTTCCTCTTCTTATCACGCCTCATTGCCTCAGACAGATGGCAGTGATGGAGGTGGCCGCAGCAGGGATTTCCTGTTGTGGTGGGGACTTCCTCCACTGTGGGACACCTTCACCAGCCATGTGCAGGGGATGTGGTGGGTGAGAGGTGTTTGTCATCTGTGAGGAGTAGCTTGTCCTCATGCTTACCCCCAGTGTGATGCTACCGCTCTGTGGTGGGATGCTCAGAGCACAGGTTGTCCAAGTGGGAGACCATCCAGCCACGTGAAGTTCCTCTCCACTGCCTTTCCTTGTCTGTGTGGGGGAGAGGGAAGGTGGATGGGAGGTCATGTTACATTGCTCAAGTTGCTTCTCATTTCTGGCTTTTCTTGTGAGGAAGCCTTCACATCTCAGTTGTTAGAAAGGGTTTTGGATGTGCTCCAAGTGCAGCTGTGGTGGCTACTTGAACAGTCACGAAGATAGAAGTCAAAATCATCTGGTCAAAACCAAGCTTTGACATCAGTTTTGTGACAAAGGAACTTTCCTCAGGTTCAGTGAGACACTGGTGTTTCTCACATATGTTGGCAGTGGGGTGGGTGTTCCATGGCTTGGAGGAGGTTTGGTTTAGTAATGAAACCCTTCTGTCAGCAGTATGTCAAATGTGGGAATTCCCATGGCGTGCTGGAGTTTCAGCCATGCCTTCCCTTCGGTTTCCGCTCATGCCATCAATGACAGATGCCTGGGAGGTGTGGCAGTGTCCCTGTCACACATTGGAGACTGAAACAAGATGTGGTGCACCCAGCTAGAGGAACAAGGCAAGAATGGAACAGAACACTCCATCCTGCCATTATTCCCAGTGAGTAGTAGAAGATGGACACAGAAAGTAATTTGTAGCTCATTTTCAGAAAAAGTTTGTTGAAAATCATTTATAAAGCCCAGTTACTGAAATGCCTCTTCGTGTCCTTCTCTTTGTGGGATGAGGCTTAGTTGATGCTCCTCAGTTACCAGGGCACAGACCAGCCCGGTGCAAACGCTGCCGTCGGGGGACGTGGGTGCAGTGGAAGAGGCTCCCTGCTCACCTGCCTTTGCTGGTGGTGCTGCGGGTTCCTCTGGACTGGCCAGAGGTGCTGGGGGGCTCAGTCAGGCCCCCTGGCTGGGGGGCAGCCGTGCTGCTTGTCCCACTGGGAAGAGGACATTTCTTCCAGTTCACGGCTCATCCCAAAGGGCCACCGCCCCGTCCCGCCGCTTGCCTGTTGCCTCCAAGCCTGTAAGTGCCCCACTGGGGCTTTAATTAAGGCGGTTCCTTCCCCTGCAGAGCCGGGGGGGAACCCTCCAGCCCCGGGTGAGTGGAGAAGCGCGACCGGCTCCCGGTTCCCTCCAGTCCCGTCGGGGCCGGGGCCGGGGCGTGGCGGGAGCTGAGGAAGTGAC